CTAAAAAAATTCACTCAAATGAGAAATATGCCAAAAAACAAAATATATACATACTTTTTTTTTTTTTTGGCCAGGTCTGGGTTTGAACCCCCTACCTTTGGCATTTGGGGCCTTTGAGCCACAGGTGCCACCCTATAAATAATTTTTTTAATGTATTATATTTGTAAATTGTACTTATGTTGAAATTAAAAATAATATTACAATACTATTTTTGTATTCTATGAAAATTTTTGTTGCTCCATATAGACAAAATTTTTAATTAAGATCCTTCCCCGCCCCATCAATGGTGTCCCGCTTTACCAATGTTAAAATCTGGTCACCTTAACATACATGTAATCCCAGCTGCTCAAAAGGCTGAGGAAGGAGGTTCACTTGAGCCCAGGAGTTTGAGGCTGCAAGTGAGCTATGATGGAGCCACGGCACTCCAGCCCAGGCAACAGTGAGACCCTGTCTCTCTCTCTCTCTCTTTTTTTTTTTTTTAAAAGCCCAGTTGATTCCCGCCACCACCACCCTGCATTGTGTTCCTGAATATAATTTAGGGGAAATCATCACATTACTAGTTAGTGTTTGATTACAATTTATTGAATCCTTACTTTCTAAAAAGGATACTTTTATCAGCCCTCTTTCATGGATCAAGCGACTGAGACAGGGGGGTTAAAAGGGATGCCCAGTGTTTCTGGCTGGTAAGTGTAGGGGGTGGGATTCAAACCTAACTGAGCTAGGGGCCTGGAGCCCTCTAACATATGCCTGTGTCCCCACTCCTACGAAGGCTATTAAAACTGAGAATTTTTGTCCCTTTCGTTCTCTGCTGTATCCCTAGCATATAAGACCTTGTCTGCCCACACAGATGCTTAAGTCATTACTTCTTGAACGAATGCGCCACATAAAAGTAGTGCAACTTACATTTTTAAAAACTCTGGCAAGGGATGGCGCCTGTGGCTCAGTGAGTGGGGCGTCGGCCCCATATACCAAGGGCAGCGGGTTCAAACCTGGCCCGGCCAAACTGCAACAAAAGAATAGCCGGGCTTTGTGGTGGGCGCCTGTAGTCCCAGCTACTCGGGAGGCTGAGGCCAGCGAATCACTTAAGCCCAAGAGTTGGAGGTTGCAGTGAGCTGTGACGTCACAGCACTCTACCGAGGGCGACAAAGTGAAACTCTGTCTCTAAAAAAAAACTCTGGCAGGAAAACGCCAGCTGATTGCAGCTTAAGAGGAGGTAGTTTGCTAGCCCACCAAGCTCAGTCTTACGTGACAGCTGAGGCCCTACCCCCGTGTAGGCTCCACCCCTGAGACGTAACCAGCGAAGACGACGTCCTGACGTCATTAAAACACGGGGAGTACATGCACTTCCTCAGCATAGCCAGGGCAGACACATGCGACCCGGAAGGTCTTCCAGTCACACTCCAGCTCGGGCGTGAGGTTCGCCGATGGCGGAGGGAGCGCTGGAGGCTCCAGGAGAGGATGGTAGTGGCGGCCGCGACTCAGGAGTCAGCACGTCGGAACGGGGCGTGGCGCCCATTAAACCTCAGTGAGTTGTCGGGGCAGGAGGGAAACTCTCAGGGCCTTTCCGGCACCCGTAGCGCGGCCGAGTGGTGCACGTCGGGAGATTAGGCGGTGATCAAGAGCAGGAAGCTCGCCGGATCTTCATTCTGGGCCGTTTTTATGTTCTGAGGGTGATCAGCGGCGGTCAGAGATCGTTCACATTGGTGGCTGTCACATACACTAAATACACTGGGTCTAGGCTGGGCGAGGTGGGGTTTGAAACAATGCCTTCAGTGCATCCTGGGGACTGTAGTCCTGTGCCTTTTTGTGGGAACAGCGCATGTGCTCTAAAGCCGCACCTGGAGGACGAATACCACGGGGCATGCTGGGGTTGCGGTGTTGGAGTGGCCGAAAGGGGTGATGGGAAATGTGAAGGCTTGGACCCTGCTGCAAGGCATGCTGGGACTTGTTGTTTTCGCTCAGCCTAATTTGAGCTAGGATGTTCATGGCTGATGACTGGTAGTTTAGCGCAACCTCTGGGCACTGGGGACCCGGGGACAAAATAGGTCTTCCTTGTGGCCTGAAATGCTGGAGCTGGCTGTTTTTAGGTAGTGAGATCCTCGTCAGCAGAAGCATTAAAGCAGGAGCAAGTGTTCTCCGCCCGTTCTCCAGTGTTCATTCAATCTGAGCTCAGACCACGGACTTCCTGGGCGAGTTCTCCTTTCCTTTTTCTTTCTGTTGGCAGATACCTCACCACCAAGGAGCAGTTTCACAAATTCCTAGAAACCAACGAGCATGAGAAGCCTTGCCAGAAAACCGAGGTAGGAGACCCTGGTGGCAATGACCTGGCTGAACCTGAAGCCAAGCGGATCCACCTGGAGGAGGGACAGACAGATGAGGCAGCTGAGCATGGGGAACAGCTGCTGGCTTGTAAGAGGGCCCGGGGGCAGAACAAGAGCCGGCCTCACATGAAGCCCACACACTACGACAAGAACAGGCTCTGCCCCTCCCTGATCCAGGTAAGCATAACTACCAGGGCATCTCTTTTGGGGCAGCAAGAACAGGCGTATTTTCTAGCATTCCACGATTGTTAGAAAGTCCCAGAGCCTGTAGTCCGAGATTTCTCTGTTGCCATTCAATCTTCCTCCTTGTTGTGCTAGTGGGATATAAAAGGGTTGTGGTTGGTTTTTTTTTTT